AATTTAGTTTTTAAAATTGTATTGTAACCAATTGGTTGAAATTCGTCGAGAAACTCCTGTTTCAAATCATTCCATGTCCAATTATTATGTTTGTCTTCCAAATTTTCCAAAAATATACTTGCTGTACCTTTTACGAATATCGATAAAATCTTACTTTATCTTCGTCTTTCCAACCGTTTACATCTGCTGCTTTTTCGTATTGCTTGAAATATTTTCTTACGTCCTCATTACCTGAGAACTGGTCTGGTCTAATCATTAGAATTTTTTCTATCATTATCTGTGTTTGTTTGTTTAACGGAATAGAATAAATTTCAGAGTTTAGGTTATCTCCGTTTTGATTATTTATTTTTTTTGCTGTGTTTTCGTTTTTTAATTTTGGTTTTTCACTTGTGTTATTATAATCAATAGTTGTAGAATTTTTATGATTTATTAATTTATTTACAATAATCACACTATTTTCTGGTTGAGTGTTTAATTTTAATTCCTCATAAATATTATTAGAAGTATCATTAATCTTAAGATTTTTTAATATATTTTCATAAGTATCAGAACTTTCTTTTTGACTATTTTGGTAAGTTATATCTGAATTTTCTAGAATATTTTCGGTCTTATTCACAAATGAGCTTGTACTGGCATTAAGATTATCGTATAATTTTAAATTATCTTTTGATATTTCTGAAAATCTGTCTGAAGTTAATTTATTAATTGTATTTGTGTCAGTGCTCGAATCGCTCGAATCGAATATTTCTGCTTCTTTTTCTAATTTTTTAAAATCGATTTATTAGTTTTTGCTTTGATTAAAATTAAATCGCATTCTTCTTTGCTTAATGTGTTATCTATGTCGTCTAATGGTATGGTGCCTTTTAAGTATCTACTAAGTCTAGCTCTTAATTCACTAGTTGTACCTATTGATTTTAATTTTTTATTTTCGCAATATTTAATAAGAAATGGTTTTTTGAGAGTATAGATTTCTGTTGCAGTATTTATTGTTATAGAAAGATCCGATTTTGGGTCTTTAAGTTGATTCATTAATTTATAAAATTTGAAAAATGAATTTAAATTATCCTAAATCTATACTAGGACATTTTAACGGTTTTTAATTATGTTAATCTACAATTAACTAAAATTATATACCTACTTTATACTATTGTTAAAATCCCTACAAATTTAAATTATTAAGAGGTTTTATTAATTTTATTGTAAAAAAAATTTATTGGGAGTGTTTGACCAAAAAAAAAAAAAATATTTACTGCTAGATTAAATATCAATTTATTGAATTAAAAAAAAAATCCTATTTAAATTAAAAAAAAAATCTAATCTACAATCATAATATTAATACGTAAGTATATCACTTAAATTAAAATATTTTTGCGGTTATAATTATATCGAATAAAAATTTTGAAAAGATAAGAGAGAAATAGAGAAAGAGAAAAAAAAAATGAACTACAAAAAAAAAATCCTATTTAAATTGTTTCTTTAAAAAACCTAATCTACTCGTTTAAAACTTAAATTAAAATTTTGCGGTTATTGAACTAAAATTCTATTTAAATTGTTTTAAGAAAAATCTAATCTATAATCCTAATATAAGTATATTACAAAACGTTGGTCACCTTGGCGTATACTTGTAGACGCACTACGGTTGCAAAAATTGTACCACGCGGCACAAAACTGCTGTCTTGTCGGTCAGACAAAAATCAAACGCGTATGTGTTACTCCCTCGGTATACACACGCACAAAAATTGCTTTCTGGGTTTCTACTGCACCCAAAACACAAAAGGTATATTTTACTTTAACAGAAAAAAAAATCACTAAACTCGCTCCGGGTTTTACTATCCGAAACGTGCACAATTGTTGTACTTCACTTGACAAAAAAATGGTGTGTCAAGGGAATCTCTCCCAGTCTACACGTAAAAACTGTTGTACTTCTCGTACGTAAACACTTCAAAAAATTAAAACTTGCCAAGGTTGAGGTACCGGGGCACAAAAAATTCAAAAAAAATGTCTTCAACCGTGGATAAGTAACCCCCCCCGTTGGGCGCCACTCTATTGGATAATACGCGGTAAACCAACTTTATACCTTACCCTCGTACGCTCTAGGCTAATGATTGTCTCTAGAATAAATTCAGATTAGGCGTGGGTCGATTTCGGCGTAGTCATTTTTCATAAAATCATTTTAATCGCGTTTAGATAATATAATGTTAATATTGATTATATTGTACCGATATCATTTATCACCTTTTATCTCACTTTCGTCGGTTAGATGCAGGTATGCAGTATGAACTGTATATAATAATAATATTTATATGTATATATTATAGTATGGGATTATACTGTCATACAACATAATCTATATTACGGTCTAAGTTAATAAAGATATAGATTTAGGTATAGTTAACCTATACTCTGTATTGATAGACGATCATTGAGTAAATCATCAAGTAGTCAGTAGTTAGAAATCGCCATGGCAAAAGCAATTGAAACTTTCCGTGGACGTGAAATATATGTACATGATGGGTATATGTATATTTTTGATGCATTTAGTGCAAATAAATTAAAAAAGTTTTGGCGATGTCGTTACAAAGATTCGTGTAAGGCGAGAATTCATACACTAGTTGAAACAAATAAGTTTTTAAAACAAATAAATGAACATTCGACCCATGACTCGGAAGCGGCTAATATTGAAGCTAATTCTGCAGTTACCAAGATGAAAAAACGAGCACGTGAGACAATGGAGCCTACATCAAATACCATCAATGAATGTACGAGTGGATTATCACAAGCAGGAAAATTAAATATCAACATTTTAATAACTTCAATTGAGAATTAATTTTAAATTAATTAGGGAGCGTTGACGGCTGATGGAGCTTTAAAAAAACAGATAAGACGCACGCGGCGTGAAATTCAAGCTGCACCCGATGCTCCAAAAGATTTGGTTTCATTAATAATACCATTGAATTACCAGTCGTATTCGCCATCTGAAGGTGTAACTGAACAATTTTTACTACACGATAGTGGACCTGGAGTCGATAGAATTTTAATTTTTTGTCGCCCTCAAAATTTAAATATTTTATCAGAGTCTTCCAATTGGTATGTCGATGGCACATTTAAAGTAGCACCTCATTTATTTTCGCAAGTATATGTAATATTAAGTAAATACCTCGATGGCGTTCGTCCCCTTATTTATGCTCTTTTACCCGATAAAAAAAACCAAACGTATGAACGGCTATTTAAAATATTAATTGAATTAAAACCAGGGTTAAAACCAAAATTAATTGCTTGCGATTTTGAGCAAGCTGCGATCAAAGCAATTAAAAACAATTTCTCTGAAGTTCAAATTCACGGATGTCTATTTCATTTGACAAAAAATTTTAGACTTAAAATGGGTGACCTAGAATTATTTTCGAAGTATAAAAATGATGCAGAATTTTCAATTTATATTAAAATGATTTTGGCTTTAGCTTTTGTTAAAATTTACGACATTTACAATAGTGTAAACTTATTATATGATGAACTGCCTGAAGAAATATTTCCTCTCTTGGAATGGTTTGAAGAAAACTACATCGGTACAGTTGTAACCCAGTTGTAACCCACGTCGTCGAAACCCACTTTTCCCCCCTATAATTTGGAACGTTCATGATCGCGTACTTAATAAAGACGATCGAACAAATAATCATGCAGAAGCGTGTCAAATCGTCGTCTTAATCTACAAATGGCAGTTGACCATCCGACACTATGGGCATTTATATCATGTTTAAGGAGAATGACCGAGACACCTTCTTTTGCCAATTAGAAACAGGCAAAAGTCCATCAAAAAAGAAAAAAAATACATCGACGTCGATAAACGTATTTTAAAATTAGTCTACGATTATGATAATCGTAATACTATGAGCTTTTTAAGAGGGATAGCACATAATATAAGTATGATGACCTGAATATTTTTATTCATGATTTTAATAGCATTCTCCTTATTTTTATATTTTTAATATTTTAATATTATTATATACAGTTTTTTATACAAAAATTATTTATATATTTAATACAATTTTTATAGCATTCTAATTATTTTAATTAAATTTGTTTTATTATACTTAAATATACCTAATTATTATATACAGTTTTTTATACAAAAATTATTTATATATTTATATTTTATGGTGACCTACCTAATTTCTTGAATGGCTCTACGCCTAAACGGCCTTACGCCGAAACAGCCACGCCGAAATGTCCTTGTCCTAGACGAGTATTATAGTATTCATATTTACAAAACTTAACAAAGATTTCATTATTTAATATTGAGTTTTCTATTTCATTTTGTATTTCGATTTTTTATAACTTATTACAATTTTTTATAGTTTCCATTCTTTTATTATAAATTTCAATTCCTTTAACTAAGGTATTCAATTTTTTTTTAATATATTTTCTGCATTTCGATTTTTATTTTTAATAGAACAATTCTATTAAAAAATATTTTAATTATTATTGCATTTCGATTTTAATTATTAATAATTAAGTTTTGCGGAAAATGTTTTTATTATTTTTGCATTTCATAAGTTTTGCGAAAAATATTTTTAATTTTTGCACATTGTTTTCTTTGTGATCTTTTACTGATACATTATGAGCTGCACTAACTGCGCCAGGAATGGTATTTATATACTACTAATATACATACAATTATTTGAAAATCTTATATCTTCATTATTTAGACTTAAGAGATTGATACTTAAATAGTTATGAGTTTTAAATGTTATAATGTGTTATATTATGGCTTAGATAGTAAATACAAATTAATTAATCTTTTAAATTATTCTCAATCGTTAATCGTTAAATGTAATAACTTATATTATTATACGATTATTTTAAACTGGTTTTAAAGAAAAAAACCCAAAGTTATTTTATCGACAACCTCGATAGCTTGTTACAATATTTTGTCAATTTTAAGATTGTTTCATAATTTTTACAGTGTCTATGTGTATGACGTGACGTTTCATATTCACTGTTGTATGGAATTTCATTATTTTAGTTTGAAAGATGAGTTATCGGTCAACAAGAGTTGGGTGTGGCAATATGGTAAACGGCAAAGTAATAGGGCTTTTTGTGATTTATGTGATGATAATTCAAATAAAGAGTTTAGTTGTGCTGGTGGGTCAACAGGATCGTTCGGAAGACATTCAAAAGTAATACATTATGTCGGAGGAACTACTCAAAATCAAAGGTATGTATTTGGAACATGAATTATTTTGAATAGAGAGTTGGTAGTTTTAAGTAAATAGTAAATACTAAATACTTATAATAATTATTTATTAAAATAATGATCCTATACCTAATATAAAATACATATTTTGATTCCAATCCCCTCATATTTTGTATATTCAATATTGTATCCCCTACAGAGTACAGACCACTTACCATCAAGTTAGACCTATATATAGATATCATTATTGTTTAGATCACCGATATGGTAATTTTAAATAAATATATGCATTTTTCGATCCATGACTCATAATCCATTTTATAGCTCGTAAGGTTACGCTTTCATTTCATACGTGTCGTTCATATTATATTTCTTAAATATTTTTTTTATTTTTTCTCATACATTTTTGGTAGATATACAACGAATGCTAAAATTGATTAACAAAATTAACTAACACGTTTATTTAATATAATATCCATGTTAAACTTATAATAATTATAAAAATATTATTTAATTTAGTAGGTAATTTAATAATTAAGATAATCGTATTATATACAGAAATAGCTATCACCTATTTTATATAATATATTTTGCATTTTTCCATAAGTATTTACTATTTTTAAGTTATTTGGTGTCTTTTTTATTCGGTTTGCTTTTGGGCGAGGGATCTTAAATCATTGTAATGTGTTTGGCTGAACCTTTTTCTTTAATTCAAAGCTTTTTGATTAATTTTAATTATTATTGTAATTAAATTATATTTCTTAGTAATGATAATGATTTTGAATTAGAGGAGTCTAATACGATTATGACACATGGTTCATCATCATCATCTTCAAATAATTTTAATACCGATTGTTCTTCATCTTCAGAATTTCGTGAACCACCCCTCAGATAACGACTTAGAACTTTTATGAATAAGAAACTTGAGCATAATAACATTTGTAGTTCTGAGAGAACAGAACAAATCCACCAAGCGTTAGCTAAAATGATTGCGATCAACCAAATGCCATTATCATTTTGTTCAAGTTCTGGGTTTCAACAGTTTATGGCTATCGTCGAACCAAATTATTTAATATGTAAAGAAGGAGCTATAAAACGAAGACTCAAAGCATTTAAATCGTCGGTTGAAGAACAAATAAAAAAAGAATTAAGAAATGCCAAGAGTGTAAGTTGTACATCTGACTATTATTATTATTTGTCAGCGCACGGTGCGCGTTTATTATTGTTATTATTATTTATTATACAGTACAGGTAGCGGCTGGCAAATCGTGAGTTTTTGTTATTTATTGTTAATTGTTTATTATTATACAGAATTATTGTTGGGCCAGAAGGGCCACATAAAATTACTTAGTACAATTGTGTTTATATTGTAATACAGCTCTAATAGCTAATTTCTTACATACTATTGAGCCATATATTATTCTTAGCGGCTCTAATAGCTTGTAACATAATTATTATTTTATATATTTTGTTGATTGTGTCGTACGGCCATTTATTATTTATTATTTTTCCCTGGTGGGCCAAAAGGGCCATAAAAAATGGGTTATATTGTGAGTTGTTTAAACATTATTATTGAGCATTTATTATATCTTATTTAATACCGTAAACTCGTGTTTAAGCACATACATACATATATAAACATATTTTACACACCCACCACACACTACCTAGCACTCAGAGTATTTGCTCGGCGATCCCGACCACTATTCTTGAGTTGCCCACACATATTGCACACTATACGTGTCGGTCGGTGCGTGAGTATTCTTGCGTACGAAGTATTCTGGTGACCGGGCGCACAGACTATTTGTGTTCGTACCCGGCCCGTACAAGTTTAGTTCCAAAACAACAACAAAAGAAGTGGGATGCAAAAAGCCGCAAAGGATACTTTGTTGGATATTCAGAAACTTCAAAAGGGTATCGTATTTGGTAGAAAGAAAATAACGAGGTGTCACTTAGTAGTGACGTCATTTTCAAGGATGAAAATGTTGTAAATGACCAACTTGTAAAATGTTCTAATAATTTAAATGATAGAAATAACATTGATGTTCTTAGCTTACACAAGAAACGGCCCATTGCAACACAGCAATAAATCAGAAGGAGATGAAGTCATGGAAAATTAATTTGGATCAATAAGTGTAGATGACAATGAAAATCAAGAACATGAAGAAGGAAATGGGTCAAATGTCAATGTGTACAACTTGCGAGAAAGAAGTAATATTAAGAAACCATTACGTTAAGATAATTCAGCCTTTTTCGTAGTCGAATCCGATAAATTAATTTCAAGGAAGCTGTGGAGTCACAAAATTCAGAAAAATAGATGGAAGCCATGAACAATGAAATGGAATCTCTTGAACAAAATGGAACATGGTCTCTTGTAAAGTTACCTAAGGACAGAACTATTGTAAATTGTGGTTGGGTGTATAAAACAAAATACAATGTTCATGGACATGTTGATCGATAGAAGGCTAGGCTAGTAGCAAAATGGTATAGTCAAATATTCGGTATTGATTTTAATGAAACTTTTAGCCCTGAAGTAAAGTTCGATTCAATTCGATCTTTATTAGCTATATCAGCAGCAGAACAATTACAACTTCGACAATTTGACGTTCAAACAGCGTTTTTATATGGAGATTTGGACGAAACAATTTACATGAGACAACCAGAAGGGTTCAACGATGGTACTGAAATTGTGTGCAGACTTCAACGCAGTTTATGTGGTCTACAGCAGTCACCACTATGTTGGAACATAAATTTCAAAACCTTTTTCCTTAACTTTAATCTATTAGAAACAAAAGCAGATCCCTGTGTTTTTGTTAATAGAGAAAATAACAAAGTATTAATTATCGCTATATTTGTTGATGATGGTCTAGTTGCAGCTACATTGAGTCAGGATGTAAACGTATTGAATATTTGAGACAACATTTCAATATTACCGAAGGAGAATTGAATGAATTTTTAGATACAGAAATTAAGCAAAAATCTGATGGATCAATTGTAATGCACCAAGGGTTGTATTGTAAAAGGATATTGGAGAAGTTCAATATGACTGAAGCAAATCCAGTTCAAATACCAGCAGACCCTCAACATTCATTAGATGACAAGCAACAAAATACTAATCTAACTAGTGAAGTCCCATATAGTGAAGCAGTCGGAAGCTTATTATATCTCAGTCAGATTACAAGACCAGACATAACTTTTTCAGTAAATCTAGTTAGTAGATACATCGAGGATCCAAAGGAACAACACTGGACAGCAGTGAAACGAATTTAAAAAATATTTAAAGGGAACTATTAATTTTGGATTGATATTTAGTTCTAGACAAAAACTCATGTTAAAGGGATACAGTGATGCTGACTATGCAGGTTACTTGGATACAAGAAGGTCAACATCAGAGTCAGTATTTACATTAGGATCTGGCAGTATAGCATGGAGTTCAAGTCGTCAACAGTGTGTTAGCCTTAGCACAACTGAATCAGAGTAAAGCCTTACAAGAATTAACTTGGTTAAAATTGTTTTTAGGTGAATTGCTGGACCAGCCAAGGTGCCAACGATGTATGTAGACAATCAAAGTGCGATTAAACTCGTAAAGAATCCAGAGTTTCATAGAAGAAAAAAGCATATAGATGTTCGCTACCACTATATAAGAGAAAAGTTAAATGAGGGATTATTTTCATTGGAGTACATATCCAGCAAGGAGCAGATTGCGGACATTATGACAAAGCCAACTCCACGAACGCGGTTCAATGAGCTAAGGGAGATGTTAGGAGTTATAAATATTGTTTAAGGGAAAGTGTTGGAATTATAAACAAAACACCCTATATAATGTAGTGTATAAGTTATATATTCACACTGTAGTTCAGCAGACGCTGACTATACATTTTTATAATACTACAGCATTTATGTCTTGTGTAGTGTAGCCGGGTATACATAGTTAGTCCTTGATTTATATTATGCCTCATAACACTATTGTACATTGTAGCATTATACTTATTATTATTATATTATATATATCCGATCTTATTATTATTTACCTTTAACTTCTGTATATCTGTGTACTCCAACAGTAATATTTAAGTGTTGTGGGCTTAGCATGTTGGCAACGCGGCAACGTGTATATTATGAGGGCACGGAGGTACTGTTAGCTCCACAACACCGTTGACATGGGCGGCGCAACGAAACAATGATCATCGACCTTTATGTACGCAATGTAAAACTTTTGACAGCGGGAAACTGGACTCACTCTTAATATACCCCGGTACGAACCACGGATGGTGGCAGACTGACAACATGATGACAACGATATTTGCATATCAACGACCGTAGTAGGTTGATAACGTGGATTGCATAACACCGCCGCCGACCGTTGGTATCTCGTTATAGACAAGACGGCGACAAGGCGACCTTGAAACGGGCGGACACTCGTCGGCGCAGCTATCTATTTGGATGTGGTGGCAACAATATCCATTCTCATGTAATGGTATAACAATAAGAGTCACTAGCACAGAGTAGAATTTAAAATAAATTGTCATAAGTCAGTAGTTAAAATAAACTGAAAGAGTCACTTGCATGTTATATGGTTGTATCGAGAATAGTCAATAGTCAGTCAATTTATTTGGGAAATATAAAATACCAGTTTTGTAACAATTGTGTATATTTTTGTATTATATTATTTACAATATACCTGTCATTTTTTTTATTAATGAGATTTTAAGTTTAAATTATAATATACCTGTTATAAGACTACAATACTGCACCATAATAATATAAGTAGGAAGAGGGTACGTATAGCAGACTTTTTATATTACAAAAAAACACCATAAAAAATCTTTAAAAAATGAATAAAAACATTAAAAAGCATAAACAACATAAAAAAGCATAAAAAAAATTCAAAAACAACATAAAAAAACATTAAAAAAAAACCAACCTTATATTCTCCTGTTAAAAATTCTGTGTCTTTAGACGAGCCATGTGGCAAGATAGTCACAGCTCGCTACAATATGATGAAATAACAAAAATTCAAATAGTTGATGAATTAATTAAGAATCCATGTATTTTAGCTTTTAGAAATGGCAATGTATTGAAGTAAGAAATCTTACAGAAAAAAGATAAGATTCGATTTAACAAATAATTATCAAAATAATAAACATCCATTGTTTGGTGTTGTTTTAAAAAAAAAAAAAACAGATTGTCAATCAAGAAAGTAATGCTTGTTTTTTTGATCATTGGATGTTGTAAATTATTCTTTTGAAGTGAATGGAAAAAAATATCCTAATGAATTACAAAATCAAAATTTTAATGATATAAAATGTTGTCAATCATATAAAGATCATATGAGTTATAAAAAACCTATTATAAATCACATGAAGAAAATCCATCAATGTATTTAGATAAATTACAATTTAGACAAAAGAGACCATTATTTGTTGTTGTGATTTTAAACGTAGATTACAGTCAAAATTTACCTGATAAAACAATTTGTTATATTTGTTTAATTTTTAGTTCAGTGTAACTCGAGCAGCTGGAGCCACAGCAGCAGTTCAAATAGCTCGACCAGTAGCTCTAGTGATAGTAGTACCTAATACCTCTATGCAGTCAGGACCTACTCAAGTAAAAATAGTGAACTACCTAGGCAAAATCAAATTTTGCCGCCCCTAACAATATAATATTATCAGTATTTTGAAAATTCCGCCCTCTTACTAAATTTCGGCTTAAGTGCCGCCCTAGGCGTGGACCTATATCGCCTACGCCTTGAGTCGGGCCTGGCAGTAGTTGTAGCAGTGCGCATGCTTGTTCCGTTTCTGTGAGTCCAAGCTGGCCCATATATCCTCTCCCAAAATTTCTCGCCATAAGGAATGACGATTTTAACAAAAGTCCTTCAAATGGGTCCTCTAAAAG